CCTCACTGCAGCTTTGGAAAACTGTGGAGAGCCGTTTCAATCAAAATACAATAAATAATAAAAATCAGTCTGAAATAGTAAAACACCATGAAATAATAAGGGAGTTCAGAATAAAAGTCCCAGAAATATGTAAAGTAGCTTTACAAAATAAAAGTGTCTCAAAAATAAAACTACAATATGTAATAAATAAATAATACAAAGACATGCTAAAAATGTGTTATTAATTTTGTTTTATTTCATGGGGACATTTATGTATTTGATGGAATATTTATTAATACATTTTTTAATGACATTATTTATTTCCTTATATATTTATTTATTGTATTTTGATTGAAACGGCTCTCCACAGTTTTCCAAAGCTGCAGTGAGGAGTGAGTTCTGACAGAACCATGAAGCCCTGCCGTCTGCCCACAGCACACACTGGTGATCAGCTCGTTCACCATCACCACGCTCACAACCGTTAGCTTGTCTCTCCACTGTTAGCACAGCTGCAACACAACCTGCAGCTTCAACATGTGCTGTGCACGCACTTTGGTCTTTTTATTACTCAAACAAACTCAAAAGTATCTTCAATGAACAAACAGTCATTTCAATAAAAAGATCATTTCAACCAAATTAATAAAACTATTTCAGTCAAAACAAACCTTTTCTTTCACTGTYAGAAATGTTTGGTTGAAAACTTGTGTGTGATGCTCAACATTTCCTGAAACTTCATGTTTGTAGTCAGGTTTACTTGCTGATGGAGAGGAGAAATTTCATTCATCTAAAAATCACTGCTTTAATCCGTTATCTGATTTATTATTTACTAATAAATGACTTCCAGAAGCAACAGTAAAACACATAAAACTGAGTTAATAYAACATTTAGAAAAGTCTCGTCAGCTCAGAGAAGCTGCTGAGGTGTAGTCAACACTTAAAGCTGTGGTTTGTAGGTGTTTCTCTGATTCGACACACCTGTTTGTTGTTGAGCACAGAYTGTATTTCCTGTATTTACACGTAGACGTGTCAGTTACTTGGTTACACCTCTGCTAGCTTCATGCAGCCAGCCTCTGGAGTCCAATTAAACCTCTTACACTTCAAAACATTTGTTTTATTGTTTTGGACACAATCTGCAGCAAAAMGTAAAGACTCAGGGAAACATCATAAATTATAAATGTAAATAAATTAGAGTTTTACGTCTCTGTTCATGGTGAAGTGTTTCACTTATTTAAATTTTTTTACCATTCAGTAACCTAATAAATGTCTGTTTTGTKATATTTTATCCATATATCCAGTTTAATGTGTGAGAAAACCACAGCTTGTGTTTATTCAGTCAGTGTTTAACACAACAAATGATTAAAATATAACACTGTGCTTCTTTTTTAATCCAGCATGTAAATAATGTCCTGTTTGATACAAGAGAAAAGTCATGTTTTTAATAAAATGACTGCTGATCAGTTAATCCTTAGTGGATGGATCAGATCAGTTCCTCCCGTTGAAACAAACTTACATCAACCTCTGACAGAGTCTGGGTCCACTTGTAGTGTGGCAGGTCAGCTCCATTTCCTGCGTTAGGCTTCAGCTTGTCTTTATCCTTCTCATCCTCCTCCCCCTCAGAGTCAGGCTGAACAAAAACACAGCAAGAACAACCTGAAACTACAGCTCATTAAGCTCTGCACACAGGAACAACCCTCAGTTATCAAACATGAAAATAGGAGATTCCATTTGAACACATACAAGCTGCAGGTTTTTGTCCTAGTAGAGACACCGTAGCTTCCTGTAGTGAACACATACTCAGTGGTGGGCACCAGCCCACTAAAGCATAAATCCACTAAATGTGGACCTAAATATTTTTTTTGCACTTTAGCGGTTTTACTAATTTTTATAATTCATAAGTGGATTTGCACTTTCTAAAATTAAAAAGCAGTACCACTAATAACTAATTATCTACC